TGACGCTCAGAGTGAGAAACTTCAGGAGTTTTTCTGCAGGTTGTGAAAGGCCTAGTGACCAGCTACTCAACTAACTAAACAGCCAACTGACTCACCACCATTTACCCACTGACCAAGAAGATCAGTCAATCAGTGAGAGTGTTTAATGGACTTGAGTATCCTGGTTCTGAGTCGGATCCTGGTTTAGGATTACTGCGTTTTATTTGTTCAGGCGCCTGTAACGTTTATCTTTTACAATACAAAACACGTTGATTTAGAAATCTGAGAAAAATGATTCAGCATGTCGAGGCTTTCTTTTATCTGAACTTACAAACATATTTCATTATTTCATTCTTTCATCACTGAAAGACAAAACTCAGTTTCTTCATCGCTCCAGAATAAGACACTCTGGTTGCTGCCGCCATTTTTGGCACACACTTTCAGTCCATCTTTATATTTAAAGCTCCAATAGACCGTATTCCCACTGTGGCCATGTTGTCATGATGAGACGCTCAGGGTGGGCAGCTTCGTGTGTAGATACTGAAACAACAGGCCACATTATTAGTGATGTAATAACCTGTTAGCTACCCCCTAACGTTAGTATAACGTTTGGGAAAGGTGTATTCATTAAAGATATCAAAGTAAAACTTACTGGATCTCTTTTAAGACAGAGTTTAGACAGAAAGTGATTTATAAAGAGCTCTGATTGTTTTTGTTTTTTTCTGTGTTGGACAGCAAAGCTTCTTCGTCATGACAGTGTTTGCGGTGGCCATGTTGACTCCGGCTGCGTGGATCCTTCATCACCTGCCAGAGTACCGCAAGAAGTCACGTCTTCGTCTAAAACCCCCCACGCCTTCGTCCTCAACATCATCATCATCATCATCATCATCATCATCACCCTCAGTATAAACAGCTGGAGAAGGGATCCAGCATTAATACGTTTATCTTTCATCAGTAATAAATTACATTTAAAGTTTGAGTCAAGTCTCGAGTCTCTTCTTCTTCTTCTCTGGTTTAAGTCTCTCCAAACAGGAAGAGTTTGTGTGTTTAAATAAAGCTGCAATTTGTGTTTGAGCAGGAAATGTTTGTTTATTCGCATGCTCGTCTTAATCACTTCCTCTTTGAGAACATCGGTTCCCACGGCGACAGCAGGATGAAATCTGAGAGAGTGAGAGGATGAGCAGCATTATCATCGTCATCATGGACAGTCTTCTGGTTGTCATGTCAGTAAAGTTAAAATAAAGAAAGCTGCTCTGTGATTGGCTGAACAGCTCCACCTGCTGTCTGCTCGAGTAAAGTACAGTTAGTCAAAGATAAAGTCACTGATGGTAGAGGCCGCTGAGTAAAGAGTCCATCAGTATTAACTCATCCATTCACACACTGATGGTAGAGGCTGCTGAGTAAAGAGTCCATCAGTATTAACTCATTCATTCATACACATTCACACACTGATGGTAGAGGCTGCTGAGTAAAGAGTCCATCAGTATTAACTCATCCATTCACACACTGATGGTAGAGGCTGCTGAGTAAAGAGTCCATCAGTATTAACTCATCCATTCACACACTGATGGTAGAGGACGCTGAGTAAAGAGTCCATCAGTATTAACTCATCCATTCATACACTGATGGTAGAGGCCGCTGAGTAAAGAGTCCATCAGTATTAACTCATCCATTCACACACTGATGGTAGAGGACGCTGAGTAAAGAGTCCATCAGTATTAACTCATCCATTCATACACTGATGGTAGAGGCTGCTGAGTAAAGAGTCCATCAGTATTAACTCATCCATTCACACACTGATGGTAGAGGCTGCTGAGTAAAGAGTCCATCAGTATTAACTCATCCATTCACACACTGATGGTAGAGGACGCTGAGTAAAGAGTCCATCAGTATTAACTCATCCATTCACACACTGATGGTAGAGGACGCTGAGTAAAGAGTCCATCAGTATTAACTCATCCATTCACACACTGATGGTAGAGGACGCTGAGTAAAGAGTCCATCAGTATTAACTCATCCATTCATACACTGATGGTAGAGGCCGCTGTGTAAAGAGTTCATCAGTATTAACTCATCCATTCATACACATTCACATACTGATGGTAGAGGTTCCATTAATATTGAACCGAGACTACAAATATGGCGTCCTTACTGGATACTAAGTTTCTGTTTGCAGGACATAATTATTTGCATAAAAAAATGAATGAATCAATGATTTTCACAGCTTTTTATTGATCTTTATTATGCAGTCATTTGGTTCATAATTTCATGTATTCCCAGAATGGGCATTGGTAACAAGGGGGAAACAAAATATATTTTGTTAGTTTCGCCTTAACGTCAACCCTTTAGCACCGACCAGTGACCCGCCATTTGTATTAAAACTTCTGCTGAGGCGTTTGGGCTCAGAACAGATTATGTCGGGCAATCTAATGAGAACAGTTATCATCCATCGCTGATGCATTCTGGGATCCACAACAAGGACCCTCTCTCAGCAGGAGCAGTTTGGGGTTTAGTGTCCTGCCCTTTTCTAAGGTTTTCATAACGACTGATGTTAGTGCAACCGGTCTAAAATTATTAAGTTTCTTAGGATTAGTGATCTTTGGGACTGGTTCCCCTGTGGAAGATTTCTGGATAGCAGGAATGAAGTTTCAGTCCAGTGACATCTGGAAGATATGCTGGTCAGAACAATATCATAGAGTGTGTCAACAAATCCCCGACCCCCATTACTATTTATAACCTGCTCACCTGCTCACCTTTCATCACGTCTCTGTTTACCTGTTCAAATGTTTTTGTCTGTTCACGTGCCAGATAGCTTTTCACTGCACAGTGAAATCTGTCTATACTGTATATACTGATTCAGCTTCTCACTATTGAAAGTCATTTAGATCAGCTTCTCAGCCGAATGTTTGAAGTTTCTGACAAAGGTGCCATTATGATAGTTAATCAGAAAACCCTCACATGCGCAGACAATCATTTATTCTCTGCATTTTATTGATTCTTCTTCTGAGTGTTTTCTTCTCTGAGAATTTAAAAGTTGTCAAATGTTTCTTAAGTCTAAAAAACAGTTTGACATGAACACATTAGAAACTCAGAAAATGCACACACTATCTATGAAAACAGCGTAAAAATAAGAAAAAATAATCGATACACAAGGAATTTCATTAAAACAGTCCAAATATTGTTCTCTCTTTATAAAAACTTCCAGCCCAGCCTTCAATAACTAACATATTGTTCATTGCTCTTAGCGCTTGATATCTAACAGAAAGCAGCTGAGAGCAATCAGAAGTGATAAAAGCTAATTCTTCTTTCTCTTGAGTTGACGTAACAAACTGGTTTAAAGTCTCATGTTGTTCAGGGCTCGTCCACAGTTCCATAGTCGTGTGACAGGAAGCGGATCAGACCTCCTGGCAACGGCAACCTCTTCAGCCCACGACGCCCGACCAGCTGACGAATCTCTGGATTAATGGCCGCGGAGGTGCTGCAGGACAAACGAGAAAAAACAGAAAGACTACTGTAAGACATCGACAACACCGCTGTAAACAATAATAAACCAGCAACATCGCTGTAAAATACGGGACAAACTGGTTTTATTAAGACTTGTATACAGGAATGTTTACTGGGAAATACCAGCTGATCACTTGTTGATTTACCTGCTTTTTCCTTGATGCCACTCCAGTCAGGGTAACTGTCCAGGTGTTCCATCAGTTTGGAGCAGAGAGTCACATTACCAACGTAGTCCAACAGGACGTCAATGATTGGCCCTGCCCACCGGGAGATATTGGGGGCTGAGATCATCTCGCAAAACTGTCAATCACAGAAAAAATCAATCATTCACAAAACTTTTAATGAAGTCCAGAATTGATGATCAGAAAGGTTTCAGATGTTTTTGTTTTAAATTTTGCTCACCTGAACACCTCTCGTCCCCTGTGGCTGTGGCAGACCTCTGTCACTGTAGATCATCTCTTGGGTCTGTGATCGGGTGGTTCTGATTGGTGGATGAGGTTTGTTGCCATAGAAACAGTCAAAGCAGGAGAGGGCATGGCCTCCGTTGTCCAGCAGGTACTTGAACAGGCTCAGGTACTTCATAGAGAACATGTAGACGGCAGGGAAGGTGGTGGGGTGCGTCAGGATGGAGGCGTTGATGTCGGCGCCGTGCTCCACCAGCAGGGTGAGGGTTTCGATACAGCCCATCCTCGCCGCCACCATCAGGGTCCCGAACACGTCCAGGTTTGGTTTGCACCGGCCGCGAGCAGCATGCGCACGGCATCGACGTTGTTGTTGATGACGGAGAAGTAGAGCGCCGTGCTGCGGCGGTCCTCGTACAGCCTCGACCGCTCTTCAGACAGCATCGCATTTACGTCGTAGCCCGCCTCGATCAGAGCCTCCAGGACGTCATCGCGGTTTCGCTCAGCAGCGAGGTGGAGCGGGCTGATGCCAGTCCGCCAGACTCTTGCCTTACTTGTGGCCCCCATCAACATGCGGACAATGCTGGGAACAAGAAACATCACAGGAATCAAACCACACCCCCAGAAGCTGATCTACGGTAGGATGGGTTGGACTAATCGTAACTTCGGTGAACTCTGTGTGCAGTTAACTCACACCGTTTATTGAACACAGACATGTGAGACTATGTTGGTTAGTATCTCATGCTTTCCTGATGTTTGTAGATGTGCTTTGGGCTTGTTGCCACCAGACGGGGTTTCAGCAATTGTAATAAGTTCATTTCATTTCATTTATTATACAGGAAAGTTTAAAAGTAACATTAAGTTACAGTTTAACGGGCCTGACTCAGTTTGAAAAACTGGTTTCCAGCAGGTTCCTGTTCTGCAGAACATGAAACATAAACCACAGTCATGACACATCTACAGGACATTAGCGTGGGCTAGGCAGATACAGACAAATAAAAACAAACAGTACAGATACTGCGAACAATACTTGAAAAATTAATGAGTGCAGGTGTAAGTGTGGAGAAGGTGTCGTTTGTATGTATTTTTTAAATATGCGGTAGATGGTAAAGTTTTAATGTCATGGGGAATGTCATTCCAAATTTTGGTGTATGTATAAAAGAAGAGTTTTTACTCACTCTCTGACTTAAATTAGGATTTGAGTCAGAGAGAAAAATCACAGTATCATCAACATACAGTAAGCATTTTGAATATTTGCACACTTGAGGAAGATCATTAATGTATAAAAGAAAAAGTAAGGGTCCAAGAATGCTGCCTTGTGGAACATCTATATCACAGGCTGAAAGTTGGGATGTCGCACGATCACTTTTGACAACTTGCGACTGATCTGTTTCTCAGATAAGAAGTTATAAACTACATGTAAAAAAGTAGCAGAAAACTGGCTAATGAACTACAAACATTTTTTAGAAACACAAGCCTGTTTTCACTGTGTCTTAACTGTAACACTAGAGCTAGTGACCATATGTTAGCACAGTACTGATATCCACCAATATGCAGATGATACCCAGCTCTATATGTCTGCAAATTCTGATGAACTGAGTCTGTTTGTGTGGCTCTCGTTGGGTGGGACCACAAACACCTTCTGCGAGTTTTCTAATGTTATTTAAAAAGGAAGATAAAGTCAGTGCCTACTTTACACTTCCTATCTGGGCGGCTATGTGTATAGGTAATAATCCTGTCTTTCCAGGTTTGTTGGCGTCAGCTTTCTGAGAAACGAGGAGCTCCACTACTTTCTCATGTCCGTTTTTAGCAGCTTCATACAGCGCAGTGGCTCCATCAGGAGCCTGACTGTTAATATCTGCACCTGTAGGGAGACAGGGAGGGGTCAGAGACAGAGGTCAGTGAAGGTGCAGGTGGAGCAAATCCTTAAATCAGAGCCTGTACTGATGGATAACTCTCATTGGCTGGTTTGTAAGTGGGGTTGCTTTATGTCATACAGTTGTTCATGTTGCTTTTTTACACACAGACCATCTGATCCAACCTCCTTCACTGATCAACATCTAACTGTATCTAGATTATATCTTTATCTACTGCACTGCTAACGTTATCTAGCTAGCAGCAACAGACCCAGGTAGATCGGAGAAGAATTTAGTATTAATGCAAGTAGAGTCAAAGGAAAACATGAAGAGAGAGGTGGAAGCTCGTTTAAAAGACGTTCAGAGGCATGTTTCGGCTTTTTTGTGATAGAAAAGGAAAGTTTTACATCGACTTCTTACTCCTGTTTTTAACAGTGTTAAAATGGTAAAGAAATTGAGTAAAAGGACTTGATTTGAATCATTGCTTCTCAGTAACAAGGTATTTTGTGCAGAACCATAGCTGAGGAAAAATGACATACCGTGTTTGAGGAGGAAGCGCAGTGCGGCGAGCTGCCCGCTCTGAGCGGCGGTGAATAGCGGTGAGATGCCGTATGTGTTTTTCACGTTGTGTTTGGCGCCGGCCTTCATTAACATGTCACAGATCTCCAGGTTGTTCCGACACACGGCCTCCTGCAGCGCCGTCCAGCCCAGGATACAGCGAGTGTTTACTGCTGCACCATAGTTCAACAACGCTGCAACTATAGCAGCGCTGCTCCGCTCACAAGCTGCAGGAGACGACAAGCAGGGTTCAGTTAACAACAGTCACGAGCAGCAGTCACACGAGTCACACGAGTCACACGAGTCACTCAGTTGAGTCAAACGAGTCACTGACACGAGTCACTGACACGAGTCAAACGAGTCACTGACACGGGTCAAACAAGTCACTGACACGAGTCAAACAAGTCACTGACCCGAGTCAGTCACATGAGTCAAACGAGACACTGGTCAAACAAGTCACTGACACGAGTCAAACGAGTCACACGAGTCACACGAGTCACACGAGTCACTGACATGAATCAAACGAGTAACACGAGTCACTCAGTTGAGTCAAACGAGTCACTGACACGAGTCACTGACACGAGTCAAACGAGTCACTGACACGGGTCAAACAAGTCACTGACACGAGTCAAACAAGTCACTGACCCGAGTCACTCACATGAGTCAAACGAGTCACTGACACGGGTCAAACAAGTCACTGACACGAGTCAAACAAGTCACTGACACGAGTCAAACAAGTCACTGACACAAGTCACTGACACGAGTCACTGACACGAGTCAAACGAGTCACAGGAGTCACTCAGTTGAGTCAAACGAGTCACTGACACGAGTCAAACGAGTCCAACGAGTCACTAACACAAGTCAAACAAGTCACTGACCCGAGTCACTCACATGAGTCAAACGAGTCACTGACACGGGTCAAACAAGTCACTGACACGAGTCAAACAAGTCACTGACACGAGTCAAACAAGTCACTGACCCGAGTCACTCACATGAGTCAAACGAGTCACTGACACGGGTCAAACAAGTCACTGACACGAGTCAAACAAGTCACTGACACGAGTCAAACAAGTCACTGACACAAGTCACTGACACGAGTCACTGACACGAGTCAAACGAGTCACAGGAGTCACTGACATGAGTCAAACGAGTAACATGAGTCACTCAGTTGAGTCAAACGAGTCACTGACACGAGTCAAACGAGTCCAACGAGTCACTAACACAAGTCAAACAAGTCACTGACACGAGTCAAACGAGTCACTGACACGAGTCAAACAAGTCACTGACCCGAGTCACTCACATGAGTCAAACGAGTCACTGACACGGGTCAAACAAGTCACTGACACGAGTCAAACAAGTCACTGACACGAGTCAAACAAGTCACTGACACGAGTCACTGACACGAGTCACTGACACGAGTCACTGACACGAGTCAAACGAGTCACAGGAGTCACTGACATGAGTCAAACGAGTAACACGAGTCACTCAGTTGAGTCAAACGAGTCACTGAGACGAGTCAAACGAGTCCAACGAGTCACTAACACAAGTCAAACAAGTCACTGACACGAGTCAAACGAGTCACTGACACGAGTCAAACAAGTCACTGACCCGAGTCACTCACATGAGTCAAACGAGTCACTGACACGGGTCAAACAAGTCACTGACACGAGTCAAACAAGTCACTGACACGAGTCAAACAAGTCACTGACACAAGTCACTGACACGAGTCACTGACACGAGTCAAACGAGTCACAGGAGTCACTGACATGAGTCAAACGAGTAAAACAAGTCACTCAGTTGAGTCAAACGAGTCACTGACACGAGTCAAACGAGTCCAACGAGTCACTAACACAAGTCAAACAAGTCACTGACACGAGTCAAACGAGTCACCGACATGAGTCAAACGAGTCACTGAATCGAGTCAAATGAGTCACTGACACGAGTCACTGACACGGGTCAAACAAGTCACTGACATGAGTCACTGACACGAGTCAAACAAGTCACAGGAGTCACAGGAGTCACTGACACGAGTCTAACGAGTCACAGGAGTCACAGGAGTCACACGAGTCACTGACATGATTCAAACAAGTCACTGACACGAGTCAAACAAGTCACTGACACGGGTCAAACGAGTCACTGCGACGAGTCAAATGAGTCACTGAAACGAGTCAAATGAGTCACTGACACGAGTCACTGACACGGGTCAAACAAGTCACTGACATGAGTCACTGACACGAGTCAAACGAGTCACTGACATGAGTCACTGACACGAGTCAAACAAGTCACAGGAGTCACAGGAGTCACTGACACGAGTCAAACGAGTCACACGAGTCACTGACATGATTCAAATCAAACACGAGTCATTCAGTTGAGTCAAACAAGTCACTGACACGAGTCAAATGAGTCACTGACACGGGTCAAACGAGTCACTGACACGAGTCAAACGAGTAACACGAGTCATTCAGTTGAGTCAAACAAGTCACTGACACGAGTCAAATGAGTCACTGACACGGGTCAAACGAGTCACTGACACGAGTCAAACGAGTAACACGAGTCACTCAGTTGAGTCAAACGAGTCACTGACACGTGTCACTGACACGGGTCAAACAAGTCACTGACACGAGTCACTCACACGAGTCAAACGAGTCACTGACACGAGTCAAACGAGTCACTGACACGGGTCAAACAAGTCACTGACACGAGTCAAACAAGTCACTGACACGAGTCACTGACACGAGTCACTGACACGAGTCACTGACACGAGTCACTGACACGAGTCAAACAAGTCACAGGAGTCACTGACACGAGTCAAACGAGTCACAGGAGTCACATGACTCACACGAGTCACACGAGTCACACGAGTCACTGACATGAGTCAAACGAGTAACACGAGTCACTCAGTTGAGTCAAACGAGTCACTGACACGAGTCAAACGAGTCCAACGAGTCACTGACACAAGTCAAACAAGTCACTGACACAAGTCAAACAAGTCACTGACACGAGTCAAATGAGTCACTGACACGAGTCAAACGAGTCACTGACACGAGTCAAACGAGTCACTGAATCGAGTCAAACGAGTTACTGACACGAGTCATATGAGTCAGTTATTTAATGTTCAGACCGTCTCCTCCAGTGGACTCGGGGGTCGTTTGGCTGTGTTCACTGTAACCTCTCAGTCTTACCTTTGTAGAGAGGGGTCTCTGGCTCAGTCTTACCTTTGTAGAGGGGGGTCTCAGGCTCAGTCTTACCTTTGTAGAGGGGGGTCTCTGGCTCAGTCTTACCTTTGCAGAGGGGGGTCTCAGGCTCAGTCTTACCTTTGTAGAGGGGGGTCTCAGGCTCAGTCTTACCTTTGTAGAGGGGAGTCTCTGGCTCAGTCTTACCTTTGTAGAGAGGGGTCTCAGGCTCAGTCTTACCTTTGTAGAGGGGGTCTCAGGCTCAGTCTTACCTTTGTAGAGGGGGGTCTCTGGCTCAGTCTTACCTTTGTAGAGAGGGGTCTCTGGCTCAGTCTTACCTTTGTAGAGAGGGGTCTCTGGCTCAGTCTTACCTTTGTAGAGGGGGGTCTCTGGTTCGTGGTTAGCAATGTCAACATCTGCTCCGTATTCCAACAGCATGTTAACACAGTTCAGCCGACCTTTGCTGACGGCGACCAGCAGCGCCGTCTCCCCGCTCTCAGTTCTCTTGTTGATCATCCCAGGCTGAGCTGAAAACACAGACGGAGGAGGAGGAGGAGGTCTCTGGACTCTGTAGTGATGTGTGTGTGTGTTTGTATTTTTGTCTGTGTGTGTTTGTGTGTGTGTGTGTGTGTGTGTGTGTGTGTGTGTGTGTGTGTGTGTGTGTACCTGACAGCAGCACTTTCAGACAGGTCTCCTGGCCGTACCAGGCAGCCTGGTGAATGGCGAGCCAGCCAGGTTTACTCGGCAGCATCAGGTTTGTTTCTGATTGCGTTGCCAACTCTCTCACTTTTTTTGCGTCACCAACACGAATGGCTTCAAACAGAGGCTCCTCCTCCCTGCAGGGAAATTACCCATCAGCCGCTTTGTGTCCCTTTTTATCCTCTCTGTAATCTGCTTCAACTGTGTCAGAGGAAACAGCTGATACAGGTGATACAGGTGATACAGGTGATACAGATGATACAGGTGATACAGATGATACAGGTGATACAGATGATACAGGTGATACAGATGATACAGATGGTGAAGTTTACTTACTCATCAGGTTCTGGACAGACGTGGACCAGAGAGCCTTCATGACTGCGATACGCCACCATCCTCTTTCCTGTACCCGTGATGAAGTGACTGACGGACCCTTTGAACGTCTTCCTGCTCCACAACAAGGAGACAGCAGCCAATCAGAGGTCAGAGAGAGTGTGCACAGAGTCAGCCAATCAGAGAGCACAGAGTAGAAAAATAAACAAATCAGAGCAGATAAAAATGATGCCTCACTCAATCAGAGCACAGAGAATACACAGCAGCCAATCAGAACACTGAGGGCAACACAGTGAGCAATCAGAGCAAAGTGAGTGATACAGAGTCAGCCAATCAGAGCACAGAGTTGTTCAGCAGCCAATCAGAGAACAAAGAGTGGCACAGAGGCCAATCAGAACACAATATAGTACTGATTGGCAGCAGCCAATCAGAGTGCAACAGTAGCCAATCAGAGCAAAGTAGTGATGCAGTAGCCAATCAGAGCACAGACAGTTACGCAGCAGCCAGTCAGAGCACAGACAGTTACGCAGCAGCCAATCAGAGCACAGACAGTTATGCAGCAACTAATCAGAGCACAGATAGTTATGCAGCAACCAATCAGAGCACAGATAGTTATGCAGCAACTAATCAGAGCACAGATAGTTATGCAGCAACTAATCAGAGCACAGATAGTTATGCAGCCAATCAGAGCACAGATAGTTATGCAGCAACTAATCAGAGCACAGATAGTTATGCAGCAACTAATCAGAGCACAGATAGTTATGCAGCAACTAATCAGAGCACAGATAGTTATGCAGCCAATCAGAGCACAGATAGTTATGCAGCAACTAATCAGAGCACAGATAGTTATGCAGCAACTAATCAGAGCACAGATAGTTATGCAGCAACTAATCAGAGCACAGATAGTTATGCAGCCAATCAGAGCACAGATAGTTATGCAGCAACTAATCAGAGCACAGATAGTTATGCAGCAACTAATCAGAGCACAGATAGTTATGCAGCAACTAATCAGAGCACAGATAGTTATGCAGCAACTAATCAGAGCACATCATAATATTAATAGCAGTTTCAAACATTTGTAGTTCATTTGTAAAACTGTACGTACAGATCAGGAGGTAATTCACTCGGGGGGTATGGCGAGCTGTAGTGAACCGGGGTCACAGTTGGGGGTGGATTGTGGGGGCATTGGTGTAGATTGTTGGCGTTTGCGTTTGCGTTTGCGGTGTCAGGTGGGTGAGGAGGACTGGCGGCGAGGACGGGGGCGGTCTTGGTGGCGTCGATGGCATCGTTGGTTGTGGTGGTATCGTTGAGGTCGGTCAGGCTGCGCTCGATGGCGAGCTGCAGCAGCTCGTCGTCACTCAGAGTACTGTAGATAGAATAATCCTCAAAGGACCGACCTCCTGATGCAGAGCGGGAGACACTGGCCGCCGCCGCCATGACGTAGCTGTGAGGTCAGATCATAACAAGGTTATTAACAGGAAACAAGAGAGCGGCCCCAACAAACTGAACCTGAGTGAGACGGAGGCAGAAACTTTCCCGCTCTCTGAGTCTGGATGTTAGAGCGGAGACCAAGGCGAGGAGAGAAGAATCAAAGTTTCATTAATTTGTCCTCTGAGCGTTTCTAAAAGTCAAAGTATCACTCACCTCTGTTCACAGTTCTTCTTAGTTAATCCTGTTTGTGTCTGTGTCTGTTATGGGGGTCTGCACATGACTCTGTGTGTGACCAGGAGGGGGGGGGGGTTACTTAAAGGTTATTTTAAGAGCTGCAGTTAATCGTGTTGACCCAATCTAAAGTTACAGACTGGACTATCTGAAACTTTAACACTTTGATAAATTAAGTGGAACCTCTATCACCTCTACCCTAACCCTGTTGTGTGGGGTTTAGTCCCAGACCAGGTCTATATGTTTAGCACATATCACAAAGTGCTTTACAATCAAATAAGTACACAATGAAACTAAATCAAATGGCAGGTAAAAATAAAAAGCTAAGGCATGAC